AACAATAGAATCAGCCTGTAAGGAATAATTTCTGGTCAGTTCATGAAAATGATGAACAATCTTCCACCAAATGTATGTAATATAGCAGGTGTTATCACTTATTCTGACACTTATGGTGATCAAAAGTAAAATATTAACAAGGCCATCATTTTTTTTTTTTTTTGTGTGTGTATGTGTGTTTACATTTTCTCATACAGTGAGACAAACGCTTTAAACGAGTGATAAAATCTGCAACTTAGCCCATGTAGCATTAAGAGCCACAAACTGGAGAGTGAGGAGACTAACACTAGAGTCCTCAATAATCAGTATTATTATATTCAATGAAAATAGGAAAATGGGGATTTAGATTAGAATTACAAAAGCTACAGTAAGTAAGTTTGAGAAATCATGCTTTAGGGCGGCTTAATTTTATCCTTTGGGAATCTAGATTTTATTTATCGGCATTGGTTATTTGTTTTTCTAAGCTTGGATATGGAAGTTGCAGGGGAGGATGATAAGGAAAGAAAAAAAGATTTGATTGGTGATTGATACAATGATCAATCGTGTGAAGAAAGAATAAACTTTCTATGGAGTTGCTTTATATGACCGAGGTGCTTTGACGGTAGTTTGAAGGATTTTATTTTGGAATGCCATAATGCTAAGGTTCATTGGAAGTGCATTTCAGTGATACACAAAGGAATTGATTAGAAATATCTTATGTCTGGTGACACTCATTTAGAGTGTGATGCGGATCGTGCAAAACTTGAAAAGGCTAGAAAGGAAACAAATATACTGATAATGGTATCAAGAGACTGGTAATATGTCAGTACTGTGAGAGGAAAGAAGCTTTTTAAAGTGATAGAAATGACACAATAGGATTTCTACTCTTTCTTATAGACTGAACTGATTGAGAAAAATACAGATGTTAATGGTGAAAAGATAAACTGACTCAAAATAAAATGCCTGGGTTATCGGAAGTTATTTGGTGTTCTCCAGATTAAATACAACTTAAAGGACAAAGAGAATTTCAGAACAATGAACTGGAGATGCAGCAGATTAGGTAGACCTTTCAGTATCCAAACAGATCTCTTAATTTCAGTTATAGCCCCTCATTGCTTATAAATCCACTGAAAAAGATGTCTCAAGTCTATTTCCCCTGATTTCTAGGAAGTGTCATCAACTCCATAAAGACTTGGCATCTGCTCATCGATTACCACAAACGAATGCAGCAGTGAAGGAGAGGAACCCTGAAAATGCCTGAAAGTGTTCTGGTATTTCAAAAAGAACACAACTTGAGGCTTGAAACAGTAAGGCAGAACTCGATCTGTCTTTTTTTGTAACTCATGTATAAGATTTTTCAATTAAAGTGTGGTTTTAAGTTTTGAATAAAAGTAACAAAACAATTTTTTTCTAATTTATTTCTGATTTATCCTGGAAGGGTAAACTTCAATATCTCTCCTGTAAAATAAGGAAAAAGTACGTATCAGCTTTTGCTGTAACACCACGTATATATTCCAGTTACTGTTTTCTAATTGAAAACCGTATTTCTAAATTGACCTTTTGAACTTGTTTAAGAACGTTTTCATTTTAAATGTTTTTAGTTTCCAGAATTTTTTGTTTCACAATGATATTAAACTATCAGTATGTTCTTATGCAGTCATATACTTTTTCTGTATTTTTTTTTGTTCTTGCATCTTCTCGCGAAGTATAAGAGTTTCTTGCCCACCTCTTCAATTATTCTGTTCGGTCACAATTTGACTGCTTGGCTGTATGTACTTTTGCTTTTTCCATCCTCTCAAAACGTTTCTGGCTGCAGGCATTGTGTGTTTACTGATTGCCAGACTTTAACTAACACTGCAGGAATACATCCACTTCTATAGTGAAGTTGTGTCAATAGTTTCAGTTGAAATCATATATGCCCATATTATGTAATACTCTGAACGATAAAAATGTATGGCACTTTTATCTTCTGTATTTAGTGGCTAAAATTTGTAGTGCATTTTAATACTCTTCTTATCTTGATATTCTCTGCTTTGAGAAAACATATTTTTCTGTGATTTCTTCCACAATGAATAATGAGAAAAGCCATCCATTGACCCCTGGATACCCATAATTCTAACTATGCCCATCATAAAGGCAAAGAAATTCACATTTCATATTCATAACACTGCTATTCTACAATTATTCACATATATAAAATCATAATAATTTTTCAGTGTATCATTAATCACATTAAAATGAATGTTCAAACAAGTTTCTCGACTTCCTTTAACAGGGTATTGTCTGTAATCTGAAGCACCCATTAGATTTTTAATTATATATTGTTGATTTTTATAAGCAGGTTGGTTTTAATTTAAGGTACAGATGTAGTACCTATCCCCTCATGAGGGAATGAAAATTTGGCAACTACAAGTTTTCACTATAAACAATTTTGTAGCTATATTTCACAAACTAAATGATAAGATGCATTGCATCAAATGAAATACTCAGGAATTTATCAGTTTAATGAACAAAAAAAATTTTTAAAGCAGGAATGGCATTGATTTCTGAACTGAAAATTAATCTCCTTTGTACTGTTGTTTTAATTAAGTACTTACTTTTCCATAGTAATATTGGAGAATGGCTTCCCTTAAACTTTTTTGCTAGCTGCATAATACTCTGAAAGTTCTCCCACTGGCAGAAGTTGTATCATTTCTCCTCCACTGCAAAGTTTCTTCTAATGGAAACATTTGTACCCTTTGTTTCATCTGTTACAACAAAAAGAATAGAAATCAACAAATAAAAATGTATATTCTAATGACAACTGATTTTGAAGAATAATTATTGTAACTAGTCTGTGAATTCCTGTTGTATCTTCCTTTGCATAATCCAACCATTTTTCTGAAAAGGGTCCCATTTTCTGACCAAATTTATAGGTCATTATTTATATATGAGATCCAAAAATGTACACATTGTACGACCTTTGGCGAACATTCATATATTATGTCATGCAAATAAGCAGGCAGATAGTATGAGGTATCATTTCATAGGGGTGTGCGAGTGTTCCTTCAGTGTTATCTCAAGCTAATTTTAATTTTTTATTTTTCAATATTTATAGAAATAAATATTATTTTTATTCAGTTTTATTCCTACAACAATGACTCCTACAATATAGAAAAGTAAATTTAAAAAAGTAGTTATATATAAATTCAGCTATGATGAATGAAGTCATGATGGCCATCATGAATAAAGTTAATAATTGTTGAGATTGGGTAGTAACATGATTAATCACTCAAAGGGAGTCTTCTTCTATTTGAAAAAAATCAATGTTGAGCTCCTTTTGTTACTGCTCCAATCCTTTCATATTCATCCCAATATGTTTTACGTAATTAATGTATAACTTCATTGGAGATTAATGAGGTTAATGATTTTCATCATAATAGCTGTTCTGTCATAACAGATGTCCCTATAAATGAAAGTAATAAAAGTATAAAATAATGGTTTAAAATAATTTTAATATGAAAGTAACAAATAAAAATGTAGGTTTTAAAAATAACAAGCATATCCCAGTTCTGCCCTTCATCTTCCTTTCTCTCTCTTCATCTCCCCCCTCTTCCCATCTTGCCTCAACCAATCTAACAAAAATGTAATAGAATGTTCAAAAAGATCTCATCCTGCAGATTACAATGTGAGAAACAGTGTAATGGAACTTATTTAATATTTTTAGTATATAAAGAATTGTAGAACTATATACTACACTACACTATGTTATAGCAAGTATTCATGATACCATTTTGTTAAAATATAATTTACTGCAGTGTTGTACGAGAGTATTTAATTTGTTGTACTCGGGCTGTTTATGCGCTGAATTTTGGAAAACTGTTTTATGTGGTTTTGTTCAACAGAATTTTTTGCTTTAGTTTGCAGAAGTTTAAAAAAGGTCTAGTTATGTGGCAGCTATTCATTAACTTAATATCGTATGTACTCAGACAAATTAGAAATTTTATGTAGTAGGTGAGCCTCCCGCATGCTGGTTACATTTCAAGAGCAACCAAGGTTTTCAAACATATATATCTGTACCAATCTATGGTGAGATTTGTTATATAATATGGCTCATCAATCTGGGCACTTTACTATGATACTTTTATTAAAAAAAATCAGTTAATCCAGCATCAATTTCTGCAATATATGGCATGGAGATTATCATGTGTCTCCCAGAATAGCACATGACTTTTCTAACATAATTACCATTATGAATCTAAGTTCGTTATCACTTATGAAATTAAATGATACATTGTTTGTGTGTCAACTAGTCAACAATTTTGTAGAATGTCCATTTTTAGTCCGACATATATTAACTTGATTCCTTTCAAGAACTCATAGACGTTCATTGTATACAGTATACTCCTAACCATAAAACAGATGGTGTGATGCTCCTTTATGGAGAATATGTTGGAACGTTAATTCTAAAAATGTATGAATTGTGGCATTTAATACCGATTTTGATCTTTACACAACTCCTGCAACCTATTTTATACATTTAATCGAAGACAACTTGTTAAATGATTTTGATTACTGACTGCTAATTATTTTAATTATATAATTTTAGGAGATTGCCTATAAATAAATAAGGAAATCAACAGTGGTCACAACTATGGTAGCAGGAGTGTTCAGATATGATTGAGAAACTACATGTTTATTGGTTCTTTATCGTTAGAAATGAAAAATGTAGGCTTAAGGGGGCAAGTACAAACAAATTTATACTTGCCTTGTTCACAGACAATGTTGTATTTAACTACTAAATATAATTTTTATAATAAGTTATACTGAAAATATCTTTAGTAAAACAAAAAGTTAGAAGAAAATTTGTGAACACCAATTAAAATATTGGGTGATCTGTCCTCCCTCCCCACTCACACACGCATACAGTGGCAGATCTGGAAGGAGGTGGTCTCGGCCAAAAGGCCTCTAGTTTTAGTTTGTAACTTTCAATTGGAAAAACAGATTTTAATGTGTTAGAATTATGTAATTATTTAAACAATAAAATTGTACAGTATCATATATACCCTCCAAAAATAATATACAATATAACAAGAAATATTATTATTATTATTTGAAAAAAATATATGATACCTCCTCCATAATGATTGGCTGGATCCACCCTGCCGCACGCATGACCATGCACAAATATGCCCGCACACAAACATGCACACATTTACATACACCCCAGATCTGCCCATGGATTTAATTTATTTTTAAACTTGCTTTTAAACAAGGCACAAGAACAATGATACCGAAATTAAGATGTACAAATAATATTAATTATTACACAAATTTAAACACTATAATATAATATTATTACCAAAATGGATATAATACTATCATGGATGATTAGTGTTGTTCTATGATACTATTACCAAAATAATATTAAACAAGCTCAGATAGTAATACAAGGAGAGATAATAGAACTACAGACAAAACTTTGCTATCTTGGCCTCAATATTGGATAAATCATGTCTACAAACACAGATCCAGTGGGATAAATAAAAATAATTTTGGGAGAGAGAACCCTGCGAATAAAGTTATGATTACACAGTAGATGTCTAAATCTATGCTCTTTTTTGAACCAGAATCCTGGACATAAACTTGGAGATAAAAGATTGGAAACCTCATAAATGAGATTCCTTCCATATATCTCAGGAGTAACTTGATTAGATGAACAAAGGAACACATAGGGAAAAGGCTTAGACAAAATATTGTGGGAGGTACAAAAGGCTGTTGGAATAAACGGTTAAAACACTTACAAGAATGAAAAATGAAGACTACCCAAACTAGCAGTAAATTACAAACCCACAGGACAAAAAACTTGGAAGACAAAAGTGAAAACAAAGAACAGGAACACTGAGGTATAAGCCATCGGGTATAGGTGATTGGCATGAGCCATCAGGTACTGACAGATATAGGCAATTGGTATAACCTCCTGCAGTTTATGATCATGACGATCAAGATGATGAATACCTAAGAAGTACATGAAGAAGGGCAGTCTTATTCATTCATGACATCAGATTTTTTTATAAAACCTATATATTTCAAATTATTTAAAATAATTCAATGTACAAGTATGATACATGTTTAAAATATTAAATGCAAGTTTACATGGGATTTATTAGTTAATCAAGCTCACATTAAATAGTAGAAGCTGGCCATAGTAGCTTCCCCTTCCCCAACATTGCGAACAGGAAACTTATTTCTCATTTAGCAATCTTTACAACATTTTCCCAATTTTTTCTAATTATAAAATCCATCTTTTTTGTGACTTCAATGTTGTACATAAATACAAAATATTGCAAACTAATCTTTAGTATTTTAAGAACAGGGTCAAATGTGTACATCTTTATTTACATTGTAACCATTTTATCAAATATATGTATATGGGTATTTTGGTCGCTTCTGATGTGCAATTGTGGTAACAGTCAACCTAAATGTTTTGTGACAAGCTAAAAGGCATAATGGGACATAGTTCTGAGATGATGCCATGCTATAACTAAGACCTCTTCGATCAGCTACTCTCAGATATTTCTTGTGCAATGAGTATATTCTCCCAGTGTACAGAAGGATTGTTTATTTACTTTGAACTTGTGTTAAAGTATTATACCTAATGTACACTGCTGACTACTATCTTACAAACACATATTTTTACCATTAAAGCAACGAATTCAGGTTGACCATTACAATATTTCATTATTATAAAATCTTTGCCATATATACATGTAAAAACAGAATATGATAGTCAAATTTGAAAGGCAAACACTTTGGTGGTATCTGTGAATACACCAGAATTTTATGTTGCAAGTTATGCAGTTGATGCGCAGACTTTCAAAGAAAGACTTCTTGTAATGTTCCAAAGACCATAATATCTTTACTCATCAAGAATGCAGGTTCTAACAAGTGCATTGCAGACAGCATAAGGATCACAATTGGAAGATGGACGCCTGTCTTCCAGATATCCTTTTTTATCCTCTGCAACACCACGAGGTATACGAATGCTGGCACCACGGTTTGCCACGCCTTAAAAAAAAAGAAGAAAGAAATACCTTAAGTAGGCAACCTTGTAATAACGAAGTTATAGAAGTTTATTTGCAATTGAAAGAAACCCCTTCCATTTTAATGAACTGTTTTTTTTTCTTTCTTTTTGTCTTACCGGCAGAGAAGTCGTGAATTGACGACGTTTCATGGTGGCCAGTCAAACGCCTCATGTTGTCCTGCCCTCCCTTAGGATCGTAGGCCTGGATGTGCCTCACGTGTTGCTTGGAGAGTTTATCAATGGCCTTTTCAATTTCTCTGAGAAGGAAAAAATGCAATAAAATTAGTATTATTAAACATATAACACAAAAGTTATAAGTAAAATGTAAACAATATATAAAAATTGCATAGTATTTACATTATGCCATTGTCTTGTCTCATTGTTAAAGTTGAGAAGTTGCAGTGAGCCCCAGCTCCATTCCAGTTGCCAGGCATAGGCTTGGGGTCCAAAGTGACAACAATGCCATACTCTTCAGCAATACGATGCAGAATGTACCTTGCCACCCAAAGGTCATCAGCACACTTCATTCCTTCTCCAGGGCCAACTTGGAATTCCCACTGAAAAACAAAAAAGTAATGTCTTAGATGTTGAAATCATATTTCAAATCTTTGCAATTGAATACGATAAATGGAAAGATTATGTTAGAATGTTCTTCATCTCAGTTTTTGATACAATATAGAAGCAACAATAGTAGGTCACTTTGTGATATGACATTAACGAATAGGTTACCATTGATATTTAAGAAGCAATACATTATCTAACTCTTCCTGTTCAACTTCCTATTTCTAAGTTTAGCTATTTTCTTCAGGTTATTGGTAAGTTTGCATTAATTGTCAGATATAATATCACATTCACATTTTTCTACCATTAAGTTTAAATGGCTCTGCAGTCCTTAAGCCACCAGATAAATAAGTAAACTGTGACAGACCAACTTTAGGCACTTCCTATAGCCTCAAGTTGCATACAATTTGTGAACTTAAGTTCTTAAAACAAAACAACTAAAGAAACAGAATGTGGTGCTAAAGTGATGCACAGACTTTCTTGCACTAGTTAATTTCCTAATCTTTTTAGTTAGGGCTAGCTTTTCAGTATTGCCTCACCCTCTTCCCAGATCCTACTTATCAGCACCTTTTCGCAATCTTACAGTCCCCTGATAGTAGAAGTGAAATAGGACTTGAATATTTTAGAAGAGTAAAACCTTTAGTTTAGTTAGTTCTTTATGGCAACTTTTCTTGAGAGTTTCTGAAAATGCTTAATTTTGAGATCATTTTTGTAAAATCTTGAGTTTTTAAGTAACTTAAGAAGAAAATTTGAAGTACCTGCACTCTGAAAAGCAAAATGTAAACCATAATGTTTGAAAAGGAAAATGAATACATCAAACTAGTGTTTATGTCTCGTTATTTAATGCATTTACCACTATTCCTCCACACAAAAGTTTTTTTAATTAAAAAAAGCAATTTTTGAGAAAATTTTGCACACATTTCATTCAAAGTTGCACAAAAACTACTTTTAACTTTTGTTAAGAATGTACAAGACATACATTGAAGGGTTTTTACATGAACCACACTAGTCCAAATTAGAGATTTTTCAGAGTACAAAAAACTTCACACTATAGACAAGCATGGTGATAAATTTATTATTTTCCCCTGCCCTACATCTTCCAATGCATTTGTCACTTGTCAAAAGGAAATGTTCGGTACATAGTACCAGTTCTAGGCAATAACTTGGTAAAGTATCTCAAAATACGGAATTTTGGACTCCTTTGGATCTTGTAAGTAACCCTGTAATCATCTAATTATGGAGAACAAATTTCGTTTGAAAAAATAAATAAATAAATAAATAAAATAAAATGAAATAAAATAAAAAAAAAATAAAAATAAAAAATCCGTATTCAATAATTCAGATGTAAGAGGATATTGAAAATTTCAAACTGCTGTAGTTTTCGAAAAATTCCGATTTAACAGTGAAAATTCTATCTTTGCCATCTTTGTAATATAAATTTATATGAAAATGTTCCAGTGGCTGTCCCTGTGTGAAGTGCCCTCAAAATTTGAGTATTTTCTTTCAAAACCCCAGGGATTAATGTGGGTCATATCGATAGAGGAATATTCATTTTGAAAAGAATACTATAAATAATTCAAGTGCTAGTGTTATTAACAGAAGTCTGTTCTTTTGCCCTAAATCAATTTTTCAGTATTAAGGATCAACACAAGATGAGTTCTAACTACACAACTTGTTAGAGGAAGTAATTTACTACGTATGGAAGAAAGATTTACCCACTTTTTGGGTGTCAAGGCCTCACAATCCAAGTTTTTCTGTCGAAAAATTGCTAGTTTACTTTGCTGCAGCATTACAACACTTCCTCTATATGACGTACGCATGAAATTAATAATGAGCATTTTTCATTTGTTTGAAAAGACTGATCACATTTTAAAACTCTAGTAACAATTGAAATTTGCTTTTGTATTTGACTTCTGAGAAATTGTCTTGATATATTTCATCATCTTACTCAGATCCACTCACCTGAGCTGGCATCACTTCAGCGTTTGTTCCAGAAACATCAATACCAGCATAAAGGCAAGCTCTATAGTGTGCTTCAACCAATTCTCGAGCAAAAACTCTATTTGCACCAACACCACAATAATAGGGTCCCTGGGGGCCAGGAAATCCATTTGTTGGCCATCCAAAAGGACGGTTGTCCATGTCTAAGAGGGTGTATTCTTGTTCAATACCAAACCAAGGCTTCTGATCAGCAGCTCTTGACATTGCCTCGGCACAAGCATGCCTCTTGTTGGATTCTGCAAGCAAGCAAAATGATGCAAGTTTTCAAATGTTAAACAAAGTAAATATAATATTTAAAAAGTGAATTATACAGAGATGCAAGCCGAAGAGCACAGATGCATCTTCTAGTGAAACAAGAAAGTGCTACTGCTTATCATAATAATATGACCATTCTCTTTCTGTTTACAGTCCCTATGATTATATTTGAACCAAAATGACAAAGTCAGGCATCTTGATCAATATTTATACATTTTGAAAATTGTATTTTTTCTGAAATAGTTTTGAAATTCATATTTACTACATTCATATGCAACTTTTTAATGAGTTTTTAGAAAAAAGAAGAAAAAGCAACAATTAGTGGTGCTTTAACAGCGTACTTTCATTTTGTCTGCAAGGAGAATGTAATATAGTATAATTGTTACACCAAGGATAACAAATTTAAGAAACAGAAAGTTGCCTTGGCAATTCATTGCAATTGCAGGAATGCAACCTAGGCCTTCGGATTATACATGACATTATGAGGAATTTCTAGCTTCTGAAAACAGAAGAATAAACAGAAGTTATGTACCCCTTTATTAGCAGTTTTTATATTTACCTGTGGGTTCTTTGTTGTGCTTGTAGGTTTCACAAAGCACCAAAACATTGTTTGCACCAGGGCGAAATGGATCCTTGTAAGTAGCTACAGGATACAGGTAGACATCAGAATTGCTTCCTTCTGCCTGATAGGTAGAGCTACCATCAAAATTCCATATGGGATAATCTGAAAAAATAAAACAATCACTCATACATAAATGTAATTTGCTTAGACCTTTGTGAAATCAGTAATGTTGTATTGTTTATTTGGATTCAATATACTAGTGTACGTTTTTAATCAAATTATCTGATTTTGAAGAGCCTTAGTAGTTTTAGGAATTTGAATGTCGTCGCACAGACTTGTTCTAAATTGTCTGATAACAATATTATTATATTTTGTTACAAAAATAAATCATTTACTTCGGTTACGATTGTCTTGGTGATGGGAGCGGGAATGGCGGGGACGACAGCGGCGACCGGTGGGGGGCCGGGGACGAGGGTGGCGACCGGTGGGAGGGGCGGGGACGA